GACAACGCAATTGGGTCAGACAACGTTTCATACGACGATCGAAAACCAGACAGGTTCGCGCTCTTCTATAACATCGTCTTTACGAAAGATCAAGAGTTGTTGAACTACTATTCTAAGAGCCATTCAGTCGTATTTTCTGGGTGAATAGATCGTTTTTAGAAGTCATTACAAATGTCAGGGATTTAACTTATAAAGACTCGTGTTTAGTGAAGTCTGCAATATCATGGTTCCATTTCGAGCATGAATTATCGAATTACTGGTGTATAGCAGTGAGAAAATTTTCAATGTTTTTGATGAAATAATTTTTAGATACCGCCACTTATTCAGCTTGATACGTCGAAAAACTTTTTCGAAAGTGTCGTTCCATTTAGTATCAAGAAAGTGGAACAGTTTCTGGATGCGACAACAGTAGTGAATGATAACGATGATTGGCATTCCGAGGATGAAAATAATAGCAGTGATGAGAATTTGGCAAGTGATCTAGGAAGTGAAAAGGATATCTCATTACTTTTGGAAGGATATGAAAAGAAAGCGAATATGGTAATGAAGATTCGAGTATTCAGTTAGAGTATTTGAACAATGTTGATATATGTAAATTAGTATGAAAAGATTTTCCAAAGTTTTCAATAATCCAGATGATATTACATATGATTTATGGAAAATGTTTCTAAAAATATCATATAAATTACTTCACGATACCTTATTAATCTTGTGATATTGTTAAATTTCAAATTGAAAGGTTGATAGAAAATATTCACAATTTCCATGCTAACGTTCAGTTGCAAAAAATACGCATGATTTAGGTGTATCATTGCGATATTTGTAACATAGATGTGCATGGATCGGAATGTTGGGAAAGGCACTTGAAGGGGAAACGACACAGGAAAGCGAATGGTGCTCTGAAGAGACGTTTGGCTCGAGAGGAGCAATTGAAGTCACGCGATGAAGATGAGAAGTGTAATGATGTGTCGTTTGAACCGAACAAAATTGATAACGAGATTGAAATAAATTCGTGAACGTAGATAAGTGTAAGATTTCAATGGAGAACGTTCATGAAGCATCTCAAACTGGACCAGTATTCATTACAAGATGACCGAATCATTCGTTAGCTAAAGTCATGGTTTAGTGGTTGTGGTCCGATCCAAATAACGCTTATTGAAAAGGCGTGAGCAGTTCGGTGCTGATATTTCAAACGGAGAAGGATGCATCGAGTGAAAATTTATTGTGATATTTTGTTATCAATTTATTGTATGTGATCAAATCCAGTTGAATGTTTGTTTGTTCTATACGGATATTTGTTGATTANATATTATATTTTATATGCATTCACATCAATAAAATAACTCCATTTACCAATCATTGGTGTGAATGAATCAATACGTTGATTTGCAAATCTTTAGAATAAGATGATTGTGCAATTAAGTCTGAATCAGTTAATTAAACCAAAAATCTGAGTGTGAGCAAAGTGTTGTGGGAGACTGAAATAATGTGACAAATTTGCTGTTCTTTGTAGAAGATAAGTTCTAAAAGCCAAAGTTGATTGCCAAAAATTTGCAAATTCGTCCTCTCTTCGGGTCAGATCTCTGCTGACAATAAGCTAGTAAGTTTACACGTTTCGGTTTGGAAGTGATCCATAGTTAGTGTTTATCATCTGAACACATAGTGAGTAATGTTGAAATAATATAAGAAAAGAATGAGATTTGCTTGAAAATTTGCATGAGACAGGAGGAGGAAGACTACTGGAAAAAATGAGAACAAGAAGGTAACTGTTGAAAGGAATAAGTAATGACTGAAAGAATAAGTGAATAAATGAATAAGGACTGAAAGAAATTTGTACGATAATCGATAACATGAAAACGTTTCGAATGTGGATGGGATTTTAAGAAAAATTCAATTGGATTCATAATTTTCACAGCTAAAAATATGAAATTTCATGAAGCGAACTCTTTCGATTCAATCTATTTACTAATTGTCGTCAAGAGTCACCGATTATAAATGACTAGAAAAGTTATTTCCATAAATCTGACGCTTCTCTAGTGCTGAATAGCAATCGCCTAGATCAGGGTTTCCAACCGTAGGTGTTTGCATCCCCAAGGGGTGCGAGGTAAGGTCTTATTTTTTGTATATTAAAGCAGGATAGGATGGAGCTTAAAGTATGATTTCTGGAACACACTCTAATGAGATACACTTATCTTAGAAACTCACTGTAGTTGATGAGAGATACAGGGTGGGTGTCGTCAGGGGTGCGAGCAAATTTTAACTATTATTGTAGGGAGTGCGACGACATCCTAAAAATTTTAGAGAGGGGAGGTTGAAAACCACTGCTATATGGCCATCATGAGTACCATTTTCAAACTACCTATGTTCTCAGGTTTGCTTGGTAAATCGAGAGTTCTCTTCAAAATGGATTCCAGCACACTCTCTAGTTTCAGAAAAGTATGAATGTTGTCGAGCGATTTTGCATACGTCCGTCCTTCAGATATAGATCAAATAATCTAGGCATGTCATACAGTTGAGCGATTTTATTACTGTAGGGCTATTATCAGTACCATTTTCAAACGAGCTGTATCCTCAGATTTGCCCAGCAACACAATTATTTTTTAGTAACATGGGATTGAGCAGATTCTCTAGTTCCAGAAAAGTATATATGTTGTCTATCAATTTTGCATAATTCCCCTAGATACAGCTCAGTTAAGCTAGATATGTCATACAGCTGAGCAAGTTCATTACTACAGGGGTATCATGAGTATTATTTTCAAACTGATTGTATCCTCAAGTTTTATGCGGCGATGTCATTGTTTTTTGGTGACATCGGATTCAGCAGATTTTCAGCTTTCAGATTATTATACATGTTGTCGAAAAATTCAGCTGAGTTCAAGAGATATAACTGATTTTCTGAATATATGTCGAATTATTTGAACTATTCTACAATGCCGCCAAACTTTGCACATTTGATCTCTGGGCGTGATCAATGATATAGTTCTACGAAAATATCACGA